GGAGTGATCTATTCACTCCTAGTCACTCTTCAGCTGGTCCACTTCTTACTGTTACTTAATAGCAGGTTTGTATTAATAGCATCTTAAACAATAAAGTATCAGTTTGGAATCAGGTATTATTCTGTAGGAAATCCAAATCTATCCCAATTTTGCCTGATAATTTCATCACAACGGCCATGAGGATGTACTAAGATTTTTAAAGAGAATAGATGGAAATTAAAGCAGATGACCAAAGAGAACAACCAGCAGTGCCAGTTATCTTCCTAGAAAAACACAAGGGATATTTCCAAAAGGTATTCTTAAATACTTTTCTTGTCAGATTTAAAATTACATTATTTTCTACAGTTACCATTAATTGTAAATATAAAGCTTTCTATTATAAAAATTTCATAGGCAGAGTTTATAAAATTGTAGAATGTAGATCTCTTTTGAATAAAATGTCTAAATATGTTTTTAGTTACATTTAAAACGTACTTTAATTGTGCATGATTTAGGAATAAGCTCGGATTTATGAGTTTATAAAATAGTAAGAATACCAGAAATCATTAGGTTACTTAACTTGGATTTCAGAAATTAAATATTATAAACATGTTGAATAAAGTGGATTAAAAGAGGATTAATAGCACGGCTTTTAATAATTGATATTTTCCTCTCATCTTTATTTCATAAAGTGACAAGGATGACACCTTTGTCTCAGGCTTGCATAACCAGATGGGACGGCTGCCTTTTACTTAGAGGCACAGCGACTGGAGAGCAGCAAGTTCGGGAGCACATAATGATAAGTTCTATTTGGTCTTGCAAAGCATGATGTCAGCTAGGCAGTTGAGACCAAGGTTCTAAATTTGAGAGGAAACATTTCCTGACTATCCTTGTGATGGCGAATTTTCTGTGTCAACATGGCAACTGTATACGTCTCCTTAAAGCATACTCACCCCAATTAAAGAGAATAACAAAGTCATACTTCTGCCTAACAGGATACTGCTATCCTGAGAACAACCAAAAATGCACTATCCCTTAACCAAGAAGAGGGTGCAAAGTCCTTGGGTGATGTTTACCCACCTCAATACCCTGTAACTTAAATATCATGGTGTAAAGTTAATACATTTTAAATATTACCATATAAAGTCAACATATCTTATGTCCCATGTTAGAATTAGGACCTTGTTACTGTATTTGGGGATTATATATGGGTTAAAGAGGTGTATATGGATGCCATGTTGATGGGGGTGGCTTGTGGTGGTGAATTTTATGTGTCAACTTGGTGAGCCATTTTGGTCTACATGTTCTATAAGGTATTTTTTTAGACGGGATTAACATTTAAATCAGTAGCTTTATGTGGATAGGCCTTATTCAATAATTTCAAGCCCTAAGAGTTAAAAAAGAAAAAAAGAAAAAACTGACTCTCAAATCTCTCTTCCCCTCTCCACACACACACACACTCCACATCCGTCCTTTGTATTCTTTTTCTCTGGAGAACCCTAACACAGTCCTTCTCCTATTGATGGTCAGTGTCACTCCTGCCTGTATCATGTACCATATGTGCTTGGAGGAAAACGAACTTTGAGTTCCATTCCATCTAACCAGTTTTAACTACTGTAGCTTGATAGTAAACCTCTTCTTTTTCAAAACTGCCATGGCTATTTTTACTTATACAACTCCATTAGGATTCTAGTATCAGCTTGTCAAATTATGCTACAATTCCTGGTGAGATTTTGATTAGAATGCCAGTGGATCTTTTCACTTGGAGAGGAAGCGCTCCCATTTCTTCCATCTGTTACCCTCCTCCGTGCAGGCCTCCTCATACGGTTTGTAAACATTGACTGTGAGCTCCCCTCAGGGTGGTTTGCACAGTGGTCCCATGCGGCTGGGGAAACATCTCTAAAGGAGGTTTTATGTTTTTCTCTAAATAGGACCCACAGTGTTCTCAGTTTTCATGATTTTAGGTTTCCATACTAGTCTCTCAACTTATTATTTATAAAATATTAGAGTGGTAAGAATCTGACCACCTGCTTGAGGGTCCTGACCTCTCAAGGATGTTTCTTGTTAGCCTAGCCCCTGAAGGAGTGGGTATTCCCTTAGTCCCCTGAACCTGTGACCAGAATTTTCAGATTCCTTTATGCACATACTCTGAGACTTCTGATTTTCTGAAGGTTGCTCAGTGTCAGGTTCTATTTGATTTTTCTCCTGATTCCTAGAATTCTTGTTCTATGCAGATACCAAAACCATTGCTTCCTGTCTTTACTTGATTCAAATAGCCCACAAATAACTTCTGTCTTAGCTCCTGCATACTAGACTTCTTTATTTTTTTCCTTTGATTTAATTGATCACAATTGCTAAAGATATACTTAACCTTTTTAAGTTTGTGTTTTAGAAAATCAAATCAGTTTGTGGACTAATTATCAGTTCCAAGCCTTTTGGAGTGATAGCTTGGAATAGAATTTAGAAGACGGCTGTAAAATGACCATGCAGACTACATAAAATATCTGAATTAAGTAAAAAAAATACTGTGTTGTCTCCTTGACCTCCATTTTTCTCACCTGTGAAATAGAAATGAAATAAAAGTTATGAGGATTGGTTTAGACAACATTTGTAGCACCTAATAAACAGGAAGCATTGTAGTATTTTACCTACTTTAACTGCGTAAAGGCGGGGAGAGAGCAAATAAGACTTTTTTTAAATATTAAGAGTACAGGTAATTTGGCCAATGTTTCATATCATGGTGCTCATTCTCAAGAGTATGCCTGAGATGGGAATCAGTTAAGCTCACATAAACACGCAGGCACACACTAACACACACTGAGAAGGAGAGAGAGAATAAAAATGGCTTCTAAAAGAATTCACAGGTTTTTCCTTATTCTCAACTGAGAAAACTAATTTGTTACAATCAGAAAGAAAAATAAACTACTGTGTCAGCAG